ATTTTAATGGCATTGTTTGAGTCTTTGAGATGTACTTTGTCATAACATATGGAATCTGATTGAAGGAATCTTTGTCCATTTCGCTTATGTTCTGTAAGATTTCTTCTAATAATAATGTCTGCTTCACATTTAAAGACACATTTGATGTGTTCGAGGTAATTTTGGGCTTACCTAGCTAGTTGCCAACAAGTTGAAGTGATGCTGATGGAATAATGTGTTGGGTTTTGATACCCAATAAATTCGGGCGATGATTTAAAACAAACGACACCATAGACTTGGCTCAACCCGGAAACAATTGACACTTTTGGACGGCCCAAGTTGTAGTTGGAATTGTTGAGTGTGACTATGATATATGCAAAGCCATTTGTTGGAGGCCTATTACTTAGACCCAAAATTGGCAACCTAATTGATCCATTATATATCCTCATTCCAACAGCAGCGTTTGTGGATTTACTTGCAATAGTCAGGAGAGTTTGTGAGAGAGAGGCAGCCAACTCCATCAATCCTTCACGGGTTAAAAGAGGGCAACCGTGTGAGGGTGAAAACTGGAGGCAGCCGAAGTGTTGGTTTTGTTTGGGTCGAGCTTGTCGATTGGCATTCGTTCGGTTTGTTTTCTAAGCTTGGATCAAGATTTCTTGAGGAGTTTCTGCACAACATAGTGAACAAAGTAATTGACATGTTTTGCATAGTGAGATAGAAGCTTTTGTCCATGAAAGTGACAAAATATTAGAAAAACCAGTTAACAAATAAAAATATAGATCAAAATTGACGTGGCTTAGTTTTTTTGTTGTTGGAGCCGTACACATCAATATTTTGCTCAATAACCTCAAATTTAATCATTCGATTAACTTTGCAAAGTATCATGTTTAGTTCGTTAACGACCCTTAAACATTCCATTCTGCCCCCCCCCCTCCAAAGACCCACAAAAGAGATACCATTGCTCCCCCCCCCCCCCCCCCCCACAAAGACCCACAAAAGAGATACCATTGCTCACAGACAAGGTAAAGTAACAAAAAATAGTAATTTATAATACATTTTTGATAAGAGGAAAATAAGAATACATTTTTTCCCCGAGAGGATACATTTTTCCTTTTACAATTTGTTTGTAAATAAATTTAAAAGATTTGACCATATTACAATAATAATAATAATAAACCAAGTTTTATATTCCCATATACATTTATCTTTGCTTAATCTACTAAGAGATCTAACTAGATAAGTGAAACTAACACAAACCCGCTTGATTTTTACCTTAACTTTCGTCTTCTTACTTGCTCCATAAAATTGCCTCCTCTTATAAGGGAAACCTCGTTGGATTGACGTAAAGTATGTCCCAACTACCTAAGCCTTTCACATCTTAATTTATCCTCAATCGGCACTACTCCTGCTTGTTGATGTATCACCCTTCTTTGGTAGGGATCAAAATTAAAAATTTTAGTATATTTTGATAAAATTTAATGAAATGTATCACTCAAAAGTTGCGAGTCCCATTAAATATGTAATTGAAATTAATTGTTGAATTAGACTAAGAATAGTTCCCACTAAATGTGGCATAATCTCATTTCAACTTATATGATTACATATCCATCTATTGTACTATCTTGTAATGCATATTAGCACACCAAACTAAAGATAGGCAACTTTACCTGTGCGCACCGTCTTCCAAATAACCAAATACCATACATTATGCCAAAATACCTCTCAAACACTACCATTACCGTGTCATCTTGTTATGCCCCCACCCCACCCCATAAACTTACTATAAAAACCGTCTTCTGCATGTAAGTTCTGCAGGAAATCACTTCACTCCATTGCCAACATCATCAAGCCACAAGAAAAATCAACTCTTCCAAAGCAAAAAATCAAGCTTCTGTACAAAAATGAAAACGATCGTCTTCCTTGCCTTTGCTCTTTTCCTCCAGGGAGCCCTTGGTATCCACAATACGAATTCTTCCATTAATTTGCTCGAAAATTGTCTGATCTCGTTCTGACTAACACTTTTGTTTCTCTTCTTTCTTCAATGCAGGGGAATTAATCTGTGAGGAATTGCCTGTTGGATTGTGTTCGTTCTCAATCGCATCCTCTAGTAAGCGATGCCTGTTAGAGACTCACGCATCAAATGATGGAACTATGGACTTCCAATGCAAGACATCTGAAGTGGTTGCTATTAACTTGCACGATTATATTGAGGCTGATGAATGCGTGGATGCATGTGGGGTCGATAGGAAATCTGTCGGGATCTCATCAGACACCCTTCTCGACTCTCAGTTCACCACCAAGCTATGCTCACCACAGTGTTACCAGAACTGTCCCAACATTGTTGATCTTTACTACAATTTGGCTCTCGGAGAAGGTGATCTTCACAACCCCCAATTCCCCCAACCCCCCAAAACAACCTCATGTAAAAGTTTAACTTATTAATTATCAAACAAATTTATTATTTATAGGTTTCAACACAACCGCTCTCATGAACAGCCCGTAGAAATTTTTTTATTGAAGTCATGATATGTAAATAATTTTCATAAATGGGAACTCGATGCAGTGATAGTTTGCCTCTTTTAATATGGTATTTGCTAACGATTGACAGGAGCATTTTTACCTGATCTGTGCAAATCTCAAAGAGCAAATTCACGTCGTTCAATGGCTCAGATTCAAAGTTCTGGTATAGCTTTTGGCCCTATTTCTGCAGCTGCTGGTCCAATGTCTGCTGCTTCTCCTTTTCCTTCTCCATCTTCATCTCTTGATTGTGCTCCAGCTCCAATGTAAATACATCCCTATTTGATACGCAGTATTGGATAGGAATAGATAATATAATGAAAAAGATTTTAGTTTATTTTTGTTGATATCTATAACTATCCAATCCTCTTACCGAACATGGCGTATATGTTCTATGTAATTTCATTTGATATAGCAGTTGTAATTATATATTATTTAATGAAAGTGGACTATATCTGATCATGTATATGCTCCTCTCTGTTTTTCTTCAGTTATTTGATCAACAGAATTTATGCTACAGTGTATGAATTTAAATATATATATTTTTATATATTCCCACAAAAGAATTTAGATTGGGGAACTCAATAATACTAAAACATAAAAATCGTGCAGGATACAATTCGTGAAAAATTATGAATTAATATAATAAACCAAATCAACGGACCTCCAACCGCAAGTGAAAGACTTGAAAATAAATGAAAATTTATGTTCCGATCCAAAAAGCACTTCGAAGACAGTTGACAAACAGCTGTTATAGTTGTGCCTTCAAATGGATGAATTAGGCTAAACAGAAGTTGGGCCGTATAAATATGAATTGGTGGTGACCATGCGAATGTACTTTGCATTCGAATCGCATTTAATTTGAAAACTCGAGGTTAATTCTCTTAAACGATGCGAACTTATGGTTCATAATCATGTGAATGTATTCTAAACTAGCCGTTCATTTTGAATTCCTGTGTGTTTTCATGAAAAGTTCGCAACTTTCCAAGAAAAGTTGGCTCCAAGTCATGGCTTGTGGTTGAAAATCTATAAATATGGGAATGTCTTTCAACTCTAAATACAAAAAATCATCCTTCTCACTTTGAGTGATATAATTTCAATTCTTACATACACATTCAAATTCTTTAAAGTTTTCACCAAGTTCTTGGAAGAATCACTTCGAGTGAAATAATTGTTTTATGCAATCCACAGTAGCATTTGAGATTTTCTGAGCCTCTACTTCCTCTCTGTTTCTCAGTTCTCAGGAACTGCTCACCCTCTTTCACATCCAATAGATCGAGGTTGTCTATCATCAACAGCCTATAGACATCTCTTTGCTATTTGGGGTAATTTTCAATAATTTTAGGGCGACGGTTTTTTGCAATGAATCTTGTCCAAAGACTCGTCTAGGCAATCAAATTGTTAATCAATGGTTGAACGATAATTTTGTTGAATTTCTTAAGAGTGATATATTTAACAAAATTTATTAAAATATAAATATACAATGTTTTTAAAATATGAAAATGTGTTTGTAATAACTATAATAATGTATCGAAATGTATTCATTAGTGATCCACTTTTTCAAAAAAAATTTGCTGCTTAACTTTTGTCCACTTATAGAAAAATTCCTGAATCCACCATATCAAATAAATTGAGAGGATACTTGTATTATTGTAAGAAATAAGTATAATTACCATATCAAATATATTTAATTTCAGAACTAAAAAAAATATTAGAGATTTTTTAGATAAATGGAAGTATGATACCGAAATATTTGATGGAATAAAGCTTTTGCATAAATAAAGTTGAAGCCTAGACTAGCAGCTCATAAAAGGGTAATTTACAAAAAACTTATCATTTTATTCTTATTTGTATTCCCATTTCCAATTATTCTTTTTTCACAAAATGTCATTTCCGTCACTAGCCATCCAATTTGTCCATTATATAAGTTCATGCCTTGAAGATGACAAAATTTTGAGGAAAAATTGTGAGTCCACTTAATCTTTACCATTTAATGTTATTAATATATAAAAAATGACAAAAAGAAAAACAGAAGTGGAAAATAAAATTCCAAATTATGATGATTATTACACCCATTTAAATTGATTATTGCAATGTAGAGATCGATGGAAAATTGCTTCCCATTTTATGATCATCATGAGGTTGTACCTCTAGCTAATTTTGTGGATTAATTCATGCTTATATGCTATCAATTTAATTAGAGATAATTAGGTGATGGTTTTTACAGTGAACAGATTTAGATGGTTTAGTGTATTTACGTGGTGTATATTTTGGTGATGAAAATAGTAGGGAGTGATTTAATTTAACAAGATAGTTGAAGAAGGAAAATATAATTTATTAAAAATAGATTTTACAAAGTGGATGAAGGAGTATTACAATGGCCGAAGCTTTGTAATAGAGCAGGCTGGAGGCTTTTTTCACTTATACACATTTGAATCCAACATCATATATTCATAAGCCTCCAAATTACCATATTGTAGCTTTCTCATGTCTTCAAGTATGCACTTTGGCAATATAGCTTGTATCATTGCCATTTCTGTTGCAATATACTAAGCTGACTATTGTGCAATCATTGCTCGTTTCTTTGATGTCCAAGAGAATATTCTAGAATCTAGTGTGAATGCAAAGCCTGATGTGCTTTTCGTATCATCCACTGATTCTACCCAATCACTATCAGTATACTCAACTAGTTTTGAGCCAGGCATAGACGATACCATATTCCATAGTCTTTCGTCCCTTGGAGGTACCTTAGCATCCACTTTGCTGCTCTATAGTATACTTGATTGGGATTCTGCATGAATCTTTAAAGTAGGCTGGTTATAAACATTACGTCTGGCCTTGTAGCAGTGATGTAGAGTAAACTTTCAAATAGGTTTTGAAATTGTGAGTTGTCTGATTTTGGAGCACCGTCTTTTTGTTCGAGTGATTTGTTTCTGTCCAGGGGCGTTCTTACTGTCTTGTAACCTCCTATCTTGAACTTCACTGATAGACTAGTGGACCCATCTTCAGATTGAGTTTATCTTGATTCCAAGAAAATAGTGCATTAATCATAGATCAGTCATCTCGAACATTTTCATCATGTCTTTTTTGAATTTCTCAATCGTCTTTTCATTATTCTTTATATAGATGAGATCATCAACATGTAGAAAGATTATGAGTGTATTGTTTGCGAAAAATTCTAGTACGCTCTTTGCTACGTCAAATTCAAATTTATGCGTTACCAAGTTTACATTTCAAGTTAACAATTTGTTTGACCTTACATGTGGAATTAATTAATCAAAGCAACAAATCAATTTAATTAATGTCTAGATGGTTAAACATACAATCCAATTAGTTTCTAAGGTTGAACTGCCGGTTTGCGTAATTTAAAGTAAACAATAAACACAACAACTCACAATATAATTTGTACTCATCAATGTGTAATTCAATCACCTCCACTATGTTTAATCACAAATTCAATTTTTGAACAACAAAGTTGACGGATTGCATGCTAATTCCATTTTCTTTAAATGCTATTAATTCTTTTTGGCCCATTATGATTAATTTCTCCGTCTCTTCATGCTCCTCTTCTTTTATTGTTGGCTCCTCAGGTTGAATAATCGGTCTACTTTCTAAAATTTTGGACAGTTGTACAAGAAAATTTTCATGAGTATGCTCACATTCTATATGAGGATTAGTCGGGTTTCAATATTTAAACCTTCAGGCCAATAGAGATTTGAAAGTTGCTCCAAACTTGGATTGTATGTTTACTCTATGGATTATGTTGTACTCGATATTCCAGTAATGTCCATAGTAATCTTAATTACAAATCATCCTCATCAACTTCACTTTCACCTTGTACTTGATAACCTTGTAGTCCCTATAATACTCCAAAGCAAATCATAATCAATTTCAACAAGTGCATCATATCCATTCATTTTAAGGAGTGCTAGGGCAGAGAAATTCCCTGTAGTTATGCTGTCTTCATTAATTTCGGAATCTCCCATCTCATGTTGTTGTTGAGCTGCTGCTTCCATTAGTTTTCTGTCAATAAAATCAAGAAAAACAAGTAGATCAACTAAGAAAAAATGAAAACTTAAATAAAAGCCAGAATTAACAACAAAAACTAAAGAAAACAAATTAGTCCCCCACAATGGTGCCATAAATTGTTTTATGTAATTTCACAAGTGTACGAATCGTACAAGTAATAAAATGAATTTTTAATTCAGTATCGTCTTCACATATACTACTATCCACTATCAATTTTTTAAACTAACCTAACTTCAATTTATGTTAAATCAATTCAAGATGTATTTTGCAGTTATACTTGTACTAAATTAAATAATCTAATTAAATCCAATAGAGAAAATTATGAGGTTAAATGGTTAGGATTTTCAACTTCACTTAGTTTGTTAACGTTCATCTAATTTCAATTCACGCAGTACCTTTTTCATATGTGTCAACAATCGAATTAACTTATTGCATCTAGTGATCACTCTCAAATAACACTAATCTTGTTAATATGTCCGAATTTATTATATTTCTGTTTAAATTTATACACACATGAATGCTTTAACCTACAAAATTTTATATAGATCACATAACGTATAATTATCTCTCGATTCCTTATAATATCTATGTTAACTATTGCATGGGCTAGAATATACATCACTACTCAATATCAGTGTTATCCCTAAATCAATCAATTATTGCGCATATAGTTGAAGCATTAAACACACAATAAATAATTAACACGTATTGAAGTTGCACGGAATCTTGAAATCAAACAAATATTAAAAATAGTAAGCTACATTGTTATCCTAACATTTTTCTGCAATGAATCTTGGCAAAAACTCGTCTATGCAACCAACTTGAAGATCAATGATTGAATGACAATTTTGTTGAATATATTAAGAACAATATATTTAGAAAAATTGATCAAGTTGTAATTACATAACATTTTCAAAGGATGGAAATGTCTTCTTAATACAAATGTTTCAAATGTTTTTTGCCACTCAACTTTTTCTCACTCAAAGAAAAATTCCCGATTCTGCTACTCCATCAATATCAAAAAGAAATTGAGAGTATTCGTGTATTATTCTACCCAATAAGGATAATTGCCATATCATCTGTATCTAATATCAGAACTAGACCAAATATTAGTGATTTTTTACATGCAAGAAAGTATGATACTGAGATATTTGACGAATATAGCTTAAGTATAAATGAAGTTGAAAACTAGACTAGTGTAATGTTATTATTGTTACATTCCTATTGTTTGTATTCCCATTTCCACTTACTTTTGCACAACATGTCATTTCTATCATTTTCCATCCAATTTGTTCGCTATATAAGTGCATGCCTTGAGCATAGGAGTGCCAATTTGGCTCATCCGCTCGGGCCACTAGTGGCACAGTCCTAAAAAAGCCCAAGTCGGCCCGTGTTGAGGCTTTGGCCAAACACATTTTTGGGCCGACCGTCGAG